ACTAGTAACTTTAAAAATAAAAAACCTACAAAATTTTTGGTTACATGATATTACTGTATTTTTCATTTATGTTTACTTTGTTTATATTTTATAAAACATCTTAGAGAAAAAGATTCTCCTATCTTAAAAATAAAAAATGATATNATTTGGCATATTATACAGAAATATGTAAATCTCAGATAATTCAAAGATGTGAATATTTCATCCCCTGAATTTCAAACTAATGAGGATTTCCTGTAATATGTTTATCTAAAATTAAGGCATTAAAATTACAAATCAGTAAAATATTATTAAAATTATTTGGAGAAAATCACAAATCAGATACAAGATATTTAAGCAAATATATGATTTTCTAATCTCATTTTCTAATCTCAAAATGGAGAGTACCAATAATGGATTTTAAAATTTAAGCAATTACAATACAATAAATACAGCAACAACTGTTTGTAATCACTTTAGGAGTTGCCTATGCTGATGATGATGATCAAGTGCTAAAATTAAGCAGGATAAATAAATAAGCCTTAATAAAAATTCTGGTTTTATTAATAGGCATCAAAAGAATTAGTTAAAAGAAAAATGTATAACTTTATTATTATTAGGGTGCAGATAGACTAGTGAATTATTTTTGAAAATCCCACATAAGCAACTTCCAGATGAATTTACACTACTAACATTAATTGTCACAATTATCTATTGGAAACGTCACACAATTTCTGCCTTCTCTGAATTATTGCAAAACTGTTTACACTATCAGAAACTCAGATTTGTAACAGTTATTTGTTGAGAGTTGAGTTTTTCCTTACCGTATTATACAACATGATGCCAATAATACATGTTCATATTGCAGTAGCATTGTTAGTTCTATATAACCATTACTAAGTAAAATAAAAAAGAAGCATGTACATAGATGACATGACCATGTAAAATTCAGAGAAACAAATATGCTAGACAATATTAAGTAATCCACTTTTTATTGTATTTAAATGTTTTTCAGGACAACAAGTCACATCTTTAGAATTCAAACCGAATGGAACAAGATTCAAATTAGAATATACAGTTCATTTTATAATGTTCCACTCTGTTAGGATTTTGAAGATGGAAAAGATGTCACAAAAAACATTTAAATCACAATAAAAGGTGAAGTCGTTAATCCTGTTTAGTGCAGGAATGGCCACTCTTCTTAAGTGTGCATGCCAGAATCTATAAAGCAAATTTTCTCAAAAGCCAACTGAAATTTTCGGAAGCATTATTATTTTGCGTCATAAACATAGAGAGAACATTTTCAAATAATCAAAAATTCACACAAACACACACCATAGTAACCTAATAAATTCTTTACAAAACAAAAAAATATATAAAAAGATGTTAAATAATTATCTTTTAAGATGGGCCCTGGGTTGTGTGCCAGAAAAAGCCATTGGGATGCCAAACATGGCATACCAATGGATTTTTATGCTAGACAGGGGTACCCACACGACATGCCAATGACATATGCTATACAAGGATACCCATCCCTGGTCTAGTATATTGAGCATGAGAATGTCTATAGTGTCTAAATTTATCTACTGAACATTACTATATTTTTCTACATTAAAATTTATTCAAAGTAGATATAAAAACTTCATTTGTCCCAGAATCACTTTTCTTCACTTCCTGTATAAACTGGCTCCTTAGGTTGGGTAATTTTTGAGAAATTTCATTGACATCAATATTAAGTTTTTTGCAATTAATTTTAACATTTCTTGTTTTTTATTTTTCATTTCTATAGCTTGCAGAATGCACATCCCACAATAGGGGATTTTCTTCATATACAGAAGTGAAGATCTTATTGAAAAATGTTCCTTTCCAACTCCGCCTCGTTGAGTTGGTTTCTTGTATATCACGACTCGATGTAGTGAATCAGGTTCGTCGGAAAGTACACCTCCACACTCAAATTGAATATATATATAGTTTATTTACAGTTGTACAAGTTATAAACGTAGCATATGTACAGGAAGATCATGCGTGGTGAATTCACGTGCCAGATTGGCGTCTGGAAACTAATACTCTTGGGAGAGACCTCAGTCAGCTTTCGGAGTCGGCTCAACTGCACGGTCGGTCCGGTCTCAGCACTAACCCGTCCCTGAGAAGATTAACAGAGGAGAACACTCTCTCTTTACGCTCAGCGGGCTTCCCAAGTGCCTGAGACTACCGTGTACCAGTCTCTTGCCCTTCTCTCCTTTCCTCTCGTTCGGCCCGCAATTTAAGGGTTTTTGGACGGGGACTTCCGACCAATCACAATCCCTTTTCTTTGCCCGAACAGCTTACACTCGGGTCCGCCGTCATCCGACGAGAGTGGAGCTCACACAAACGTCCGCCACTTGTTTACGTTCGTTCGTTTACAATATGGCAATTGTACTACCGTCTCACTGCAGGTGGGTCCAATTAACAAAGCCGTACCCCCTTTGTCCCCGCTGTGCTAAAAGGTTACTACTTTACAACAGATATTAAAATTTTTATTTTTGTATCATTCCTTATCTTCTTGCCTTCCCATATGTTAAACTTTCACTGTTTAACTCACCAAAAGTTAAAACAAACAAAGTATTTCAAGAAATCATGTGAGTATAGTTATGCCTATTTAGACAAGCAAGCACGGGTGTCACACAAGGACTCAATTTCAGGAATTAGATTACAAAGCTGTTTACACTAGCAATAGCAGTAACAGACATCAACAAATTTTCTCACTAGTCTAAATGCACTCTTAGTAATTCATCTAAAATATAATGAAAGTAAGAATGCCAGCTATTCAAACTACTGTACTGTAAGCACATATAAACTAACATGTAAAGCACCTGTTAAAGCTGAATATTAATGTGAAGACAGCTTAAATGCTTATTTAACTAATGACAGCAATTATAATCAAAATTCTGATTACATTAGGCAAAGCTTTTAAGTGTATTTAAACTTACGTTTTTAAAATTCTAATTCTGATAAAACTAGACAATTGATAACAATATCCATGATTCCAATGAGTAGATTCTATTGTATGATAAAATTTGTTATTTTAAAAGTTTTGACTTGTTTGTGGTCTACAGTGTGTGTTCCTTTCTTGCAAACTTTCAAATGCATGAGCATCTCCCAGTTGTTGCATAAAAAAATCCAAATTCTTGGATCTGAGAGTCATTGAAGGGTACAATGTAGACTGACATTGAGTCAATGACTGCACAGTTGATGGTTGAGCCTACAATGATCAAACAAATTTTGTTTGACATCACCTCTGACCAGTTTGCACCAAACTTTAGAATAACTACCTAGACTAATAATCCCTTTATGTGAAATACCCACTTTGAGATAATCAGTTTGAAACTAACTACCTCAAACCCATGGCTATGCACATACAATATAAAATGTTGAGCTTGTTGCACTATTGTGTTAAGAGTAAAAATTCATCTCAATCTTTTTTTTTTTTTTGCCAATTTCAATGTCTATTTTCTCCTATTCAATCCTGTTATGAAAAATATATATGTATATACTTTGCTGTTAATTAATGTCGAGAACAAGTTAACATGTTTTTAGTTTAATAAAAATAAAGCACATAAAGCCAACAACTAGTTTCTGAGAATAATGATTCCATGCAATTTCAGATGAAAACATAAATGCTATATGTAAATTTTAGGAGCCAAAACTTTGTGAAGTTTGAAATTTCTAAAATCTGAAATTTGTAATGTTTATGTTTTCTCTCCATTTATAAGGATAGATAAAATGGTAATTGATAACAAATTTGAGTTGTTTTTGGAACCCATTTGGCTTGAAAGAGCAATCTATTTGACCAAATAGAAAAGAAAGATTGAAGGTATTGTCTTTTCAAAGAAGTTAAAACAGAAAAGGCAATGTCTTTTTCAGATTACTTTAGATCAAACATTTAAGAGTGTATGCAATACATTTTCATATACAGTACAAAGAATTACATATGATGTATTAATAAATTTTCTTGCAATATAATGTTAACACATAACATTTTTAAATAGTTCTTGCTACACAGTATTGCCTTTATAATAGCCTGTACAGGTAATACTACAACACTATACATACCATATATTACTATTGGTCATGGTACTAAGGTTTATCCAAATTGGAATTATTTCTGCAGTTTTTTTAAAGAACTGCTTACTATAAATCAAATTATAAACTATATTTGTCTAATTAATAAAAATATTTATAATGTAAAATAATTAAGAAAAAACAACCACCATATGTTATTCAATATATTTCAACAAAATCAACAATTTTAAAAATTTATTAATAAAGCAGAGGCATAACAAGAAAAGGATCAAGAGGGAGCACATGTTCTTGGGTGTAAACTAGGGAGAGTACTAAGAACTCTTCTAATAAAATGTAAATAATAACAAAGAACAATTCTCAACAAAGTTAAATGTTATGCTAATATTAATACTAAAAGATGCCAGTATTAAAAATCCACTGTTACGGTCATCACAGCATGCTGCTAAAATATACACAATTTCATATATTAACTGCACTACACAACAAATTAAAGAAATACAGCTAATTATATTACATAATTTATAAATTTAATATATTCTAGAAGTTCTATCAACAGACACAAAATTAATTATTATTTGAGGGCCACATAACTATTTAGTATAAAACATTCAGTTATAATAAAGTACAAATGTTAGGACAAAAGACAATCATCAATTTCATTAACAAAAACTAACAAAATATAATCAAAAATTATTTAAAATGCAAAAAACAGAATTAACAAGCTACAAATTCTATTAAATAATCACTCTTCTCTTTAAAGTATTTCTTACAATAAAATTATATGAAATCATCATTATCCAAAGATAACAAATAAGACAAGATAAAAATGTTTGAACACTAAACATGCATTAAACATATACATTCATATATCACAGGCAAAGAGTAATTATTTGTATTAGTTTAAGAAAACTACTGAAAGAATTATTTAAATTATATCATAAAAAATACTAAATATTTACCTGTGTATAACACCAGCTTTCTGCAACAGGCGTACTTATTTCATTAGCTGGTGGAGGAGAAGGAACTCTTGATACAGCCATTCTCTGACAATCCTCCCTTGCAACACGTTCTGAAACAAAATATATTCAAAATGAAAAATAAATCATCACTTTCTTACTAAATAGTATATATAATTTTCTGAATACTACTATTATTTCACTAATAATTTTTTTATTAATAATAAATGTTGATCAAAAACAGCAAATTTTGTAGCATTTAGAAACTGATTCATTATCATTTTTACACAAAATATAATTTTATATTAAAAAAAAAATAGCTAATTGTCATCATCCATTAAACTAATTTTATTAGTAATTAAAAGTGTTAAATTTATTATTGCTTAAAAAATGTGAAACCAATATGCAAAAAAACCAGAAAGAGCAGAAATTAAAACACTTGAATACACTATAAAATATTGAGTGTTTCAAGAGTGAAATAAATAAATAGATAAACACAACTGGAAAATTAATTAAAATGAAAGCTTAATAATTACAGATCTCAGAATGTAAAAGCCAATTACGCTGTTTACTCATAAACAAAAAAAAAATAAATTAAACTTTAAATCCCTAAACACTAAATATTAACTTACCAATGACTTACATAGTTTATATTACATGCGAGCACTTAAGAGCTCCTTAAACAAATTTCATTTCCAAAAATCAGAGCAATAGCCTTTAAAGTAACTCCACAAATTAGCCTTACGGTAGCTAATAAAACCCTAAAAGATTTTTACACAGGGATTACAAGTTTCATTTCCTTTAATACCATAATAATTTGATATCAAAAGTAAACAGCGTTAAATCTTTTTTTTTTTTTTACATTCTGATTTCTGGCCTTTATCCAGGGGGGGAAAACATTTCCAAGCGGGCTAATTTAACTAATTACGAAAGTTAATCATTAGTTACTTTCCATCAATAAAGGGCGCATTCGTACTAGTTCTACGTGGAAATTTCCAATTCCAAAACAAAGCCGGATCATTAAGAAAGTATATCGATCAGACCTAAAAGCAACCTTCAGACATAAAGACACCCCACCTTATTATTAAATTTCGGGATCCTACCTGGCACAAGGTTCTCTGACAGATTGCCGGTGGCCAGCTTGTCGGGAAACAAAGACGTCGAAAGAAACAAATGTGAATAATCCACAGTCACCTATACGGGGCCGAACGCCCTCGACTACATAACTCGTCCGACACTTAGAGGCAAAGTGAAGTCAGCAACCTCCAAGCACTGACCAAAGCGCACACCAGTCGGTTCTGACACCGTGTGACCTGTCACCGAATGACTGGGGTTGAACGATCTGAGCGTAGTGTCAATGCTCTCCGAGAGCGGAGACTGCTAACAATGCCGTCCCGCTTACCGGAATACACGTCACGCGGCTACCAACCCCCAAAAACGTGACGTCAAAGGATGTATCGAGGGTGGCAACACCGAACAAAAATGAGAGAAGATAATTTTAGCCGGTAGAAAGCGTTCGAGGAGGTCAATGAATGAAAAAAAAAAATAAAAAATAAAAAAAAATTCCCCCCACTCTTTACAGGCCGTTCACCTAGGTCGCCTCCCCTTCCCCAAAGCCCATCTGTCGGGCAGGAGGAAGGAAAAAAAAGGACTTATCTCCAGATGGCGCTTCGGAAAAACTAACCTAATCTACTCCGGGACGGAGAGAAAGCTCAACGACCGACCCAGATGAATAGGAAAAATTTGGACGACTTTGATTCTATCTAGCATTAAGCCTAAATAAGTTAGGACAATGGCATAGATTGGACGAGAAAAACCACTTCCTACTCTGGCTATCGAAGATATTCGAACGACGAGTGCAACGAACCCGGTGGGTCCGCCGTTTATTCCGGGAAGAAAATCTGACGTCATCACTTTCGCCATTTGACGATTTCCGGGTGACCCGAACTAAATAGTACGCGGGCTGTGCGACAGATTCTAAAATTTAGAAAATTCGAAACGAGCGCAACTAGACGAACAGATGCTATTAAATATAATCAATAGTAAAATGCGATGACACTAGATGGCACTAGTCTGCGTCCTTGACCCGGCGCCGATCATCAATAATCCCGGTGGAAGGCGGCTGCGAACAGTTTCAAAGTCACATTTTCGTTTGGCCCCTAACGAACGAACACGATTTTACATTGGCCACCACCGATATACAGGTAATTAACCCCTTTATGTGCAACGAACTGAGGTCGATGTCGAAACCTGTTTATGAAGACGGAAATAGCAGCAGTCTTCTGCCAGCTTTCTTCTCTTCGCCACGAGGTCAAATAGTTCTCTGCTTCATCACAAAAAGAACCACGCGTCGGACTGCACAGATAAACCAAACTCTTATCTGCAGGAGCGGCACTCGTCCTTGACCTCTCACCCCTACGACTCGTTAAAAAGAAAAAAAAATTAGTCGAAGGACGAAGCCGCGGGCTGGAAGCGGGTGGTCTATCGCAGCTAAAGAAAACGTCCGGGCGTTCGATCACTCTTTGGACAGGCGGGACAAAAACGACGCGATAGCGAAACGGACGGGTTCATTTCTCCTCCGCGGGAAGGAGGAGGAATGCAAATCCAGGTCAACCTTCCGAATGTAGGTTACGCTCCGGAGTAACGAGGAGACTCGGCCCAGATGTCGACCCGACTAACTGGATGGTTTCGGAGGCATGTCGTCCCGGGATAGAGATGGGACCGAAATAAACGAATAAACTTGACAGATGGCCGCCTGCTCGATATACTGAGGAGGAACGCATTCGGAAAAACGCACCTTTCTTTTCTTTCGGAGGGTAGAAATTTGCAAGATAAAAACCTTCGGGAAAAGAGAATTTTCGATAGGGTGCGACACCAAACGCCATTAAGGTCACGTCCTTCGTATTGGGTCAGTGGATACGCTCGCGAAGTCATGTGGGTTAAGTTATCGGCTCTACTTACGAGCATTATTACAAAATGCCCGGCATCTTCGTCCTGCCGAAATTCGATTCCATCGGCAAAAATTCGAAATCGTTACGCCATACCTGAGTCAATCCAAGGATGGTCACGTCTTTAACGTCAACGAGATAACGCCAGCAATTGGCACTTTCAGAAGCCAGATGAAAAATTGAGATAAGATCCGGATCAATTTGACCAAAGTGTTTTCTCCGAGAGTAAAAAGAGAAAGTAGTTGGAGGTTACCATATTTATAATTAAAATGACTAAATGCTACACTCGTTGCATGTTGATGAAAGTTGGACATAAAGGAAAAACTATTAGAATCGCATGGAAATGTGACTTAGCTAGCTGGAATATCCAATGTATGCAGTTTTAATTGTTTTCTGTTTTTTAGGATAGTCGTACTTTGGAACCACGTTGCAATTTCTGCTGCTGAAGCGTTGGCGAGGATTTTTATGTTATAAAAGAAAAATAACACGAGTTTTTGACGTGTGCTTCTAGAAAAGAAACATAACGAAAAGAAAAATATTTTTAATTAATTTGAAAAATCGAAATATAAATAAATTAAGCATCCGTAGGTTTTGACCTTGGACGAGCAACTAATTGGTACAGCCACGCGCACGAAAAATTTGTTTCCTAGCATAATTTTTTCTACGAGCGTATCTACACAAAGAACGATCGATAAGACGGCTCGTCCTCCAATCGATCTACGCGCGGTTCACGGCAATGGAAAACCGGACCGAAAATCTATTTTTAGTAATTTGGATTTAAGGACAAAAAAATACGATTAATGAATCGCATTAGTCAATAGAAAAAGTTATGTTTCTCTATCCCAGTCGTTTCCGTTCGACCTGATTGAGTTTACATTCATTTTCTTCCAGATTATCCCATAAGTAATCTATTTTCTTCGCCAGTCGTACGACCCAAAGAAAGAGAAAGTGAACCGACGTAAAGAATATAATCTTCCTCTTCTAACCGGTATATCTTACCTCGACCACGGTAACGTTAGCTCTGCCCACCACGCGTCAGAGCAGATGCGACGGTACTCGTGCACTCGCTTTAAATAACTCGCTTTGTCATCCCACGTGGTCGTAAAAGTTAAAGCTAAGCTCTTACGCTCACGCACTGGCTACGTAATTTTCGTCCCTCTAGTATATAAAGGAAATGACGATAACGAGTTTTCTAACTTATAATTCCATTAATACTATACAGCTCACATCATTATATACATGTAGAAATTGCAGTTTACTTTTACATTATTACATTAACTAATGATCTATCCGCAAAATCAAACTGAAAAATAACCAGTTTTCCAAAAAGAGAGGAGGAAAGTTAAGGTTTAAATAAATTCAGTTAAACGGACATCAATTAATTAACAGATGACTTTCGTATTTCCAGTAAAATATATTCAATATAATATTGTTAAATCATGTTTATGTATAACATCATTCTGGATAAATTTATATTTTTAATATAGTAAAATTAAATCCGTTATTATTTATACCATTCTATAATCGATTGTCTCAGTTTAAATCAACAAAACATCCTATATAAACAATAATTAAATTAAAACAAACAGAAGAATCGCTTAATTTATTAACTTTTTGCCCTGTGGGCACGGTTGGCTTAAAAAGACCCCGTTAAGTGTGTCTTTAATAAATAAAAACAATTAAAAAAACATGGATTCGGTCAGGCCCACAATAGAGCGGCCGGGTGATAAGGGATGGGGCCGACAAATCCGAGACAGACCACCTCGAAAAATTCCCGGAGGAGTCTTTCGCCCGGATTTTTTCTCGGGGTAAAACCCTATTCTGGAGATCCAGGATCGAATCCGAGTCCTCTGGCGCCTTAAACTGTTGTTATTTTTCGATATACAGTATTAGTATAAATGCAAATTATCAAATATACATATACATGACAAAATTACGTTCCAAATATCGCTTAAACCATACTTTAAAATTTATTCAACGGGCAAGTAAATTAGTCAATTATGATTTAAAAAAAAAAAAACATTAAAAAGACTTATTTACAGTAATACCCCGAACTTACGCGATAGGTGGGACCGAGCGATAACCGCATAAGTCGAATTCGCGTAAGTCGGGGTATAATTTCTCAATTTGTGTAAAATCCAAGTCGGATGTATGTAAGCTAATAAATGTTCTCGTTAATCTTATCTCGTCTTTTGATTCGTTCATTGTTACAAGAAATCACCACATAGAGTCTCTCAAGTCTCCGTAGATATAACAAACACACAAATAAATAACACAAAATAAATTGTAGCTATGTATCGATTCCACGCGACACGTCCGAACATGTAAGCTGAACAATAGTGTGGGGGGAGTGAGTAATCAAGAGTGCGTGGCGCTCAAACAAAAGACGAATCGGCAAGATTTGAAAATCGCGTAACTCCGGATTCGCGTAAGTCGAGGTATCACTGTACTTATTTAAAATTAATATTTTTTAAAAATAAAAAATAGTTCTTACTTTTGGAAATTATCCTTTATTTTTGCTAATCAAATTCTCTCAATTTGTTTCAGTAAGAGCTGTCACATACAATACTTTAAATCCCTATCAGTTTGATTGCTATAGCCAATTTTTTTTTGTAATTTATTAATTACCAAAAACTTTTTAAGTAAATAGATCCACCAAATGGTAATTCTAAAAAGCAAAGCACTGCACTTTTACGTACGAATATTTTTATCGGTGTATAAAACAGAATACTGATGGCACTCAAAATGTTAAAGTGTGTCCGAATTTTTCTATTTTAATGTTAGTAATCATACACAAGACCAATCGCTCAATGAATTGATAAAAATCTTAATTTCTGCTTTAACCAAAAGTAGACTCGTTCTAACAATTTACATTTATAAAATAAATTAATTATGTTTTCATTACTGATATTACAAGAAGTAACCGTGTAAACAATTTAGCAATTGACACAAATAAGAATCCACATTTGAACTAATTCAAGCTCTAGATATAAAATGAATAGTACAATATATTCTCTCAACACTGGTCGACCTACAATAACTTGCATGTTTGACGACAATTCTAAACATAACATACAAATACCTTGACGACAATTCTAAAGTTCAGTCATTTAAAAAAAATTAGAATTTAGTGAAATAATTAGTCGACATACCTATGATAAACCTTATGATAAACCTTATATATATGTTCCAAGCGAAGATTATGATTGGGTGACTGTTTTCTTAATGTAGAAAAATGAAACCACCATGCATTCTGATGCTCAATGCCGAAATAAAAGATTTGCTCGTACAAATTTCGATCGACCGTCTTCCACTAAATCATCCAGACTGGAAACTGCTAAAACAAGAAATTGTCTTGTGATCGAAAGTAAATATCACGATGGAAGAGAAATCTAAACAGTCCACGTATACGAGTTTAACAAATACTGAAAAACTATCCAACTAATATCAAGTACTTATCTATTTACCATCAGGATTTTGAAGATTTCTACGTCAATAATTGTAAAACTTGCTTACACGGAAATCCGTCATTTCTCCTTAAAATTAGAAAAATCGAAGTAAAGAAATTATTTTCCGAATATTTTATTTACAGAAAAATTAAATTAAACCCAGTAAGAAATATTCGCGCAGTATAGTTATTTTATAATGCAGCAATAGGACATGATTAGACTTGCTATTTCATTTCCCTTGAAATATCTCAAGTTAATTAAGAGAAAACATTTTTCTAATAATCTATCATATCTTCAGTGAATAATTTTATTCCATTTACAATTTAATACACGTTACTAAATATTTTAAAACTAATGTACTCGTATAATGTTACATACTTAATAATAAAAGTACGACCACTTGCTCAAAAATTTCGTGATTCATCGATTCTCGGTGTCACCCTCTCTCTTCTCTCCCTCATGTCATGAAAGTGTCATGACATTTGAAGCTAAGTATTTGATATACAGAAAATAGATACACAGTATTTTGACAATATCAATTACGCTTTTCTATCTGCCATTTTTTTTCTTTTATATAGAATATATATAATTTCTTATTATATAAATCTAATCAAATCCTCTGTATTCCTAGTTTCATAAAAATAAGATTGAAGACAGAATGAATATTATATAAGTTTATAAATTAACTAGAATAAATTAGAAATTTCGGAAATATACGTAATATTAATTACATGCTAATGTGATTATTTTGATCAATATTTTAATAGACAACGCTAGAGAAAAATTGCTAATAATTTAAACGGTGTGTTTTGCTGATGATCTTTTGACTTTTTACTTTTAAACTGTTAAAACAAATTAATGTTTTTGTTAAACATAAAGGTATTTTTCGATTTGATATTATTTTGAATTTCACTCTTAAATCATAACAGATATAAAATACTTATGAAATAGAAGGAACAAAGCAGTGGAAATATTTTAATAGCAAAAATTATTTTAATATACACGTTTGCTTTTTCTTTCGTTCTTTCAAAACACTATTGACAACAGAGCAGTTTCCTAGAATGACGTCACGAAAATTTGATCGCAATGCTTTGTGAAACAAATGATTCATATCTTACATTCCGATTGGTTTCGGTGTGTCACGTGACTTTAAAATCCTGTTGAAAGAGCAGGAAGTTTCCCATCTGTGCGTATTCTGGTCTATGCATCTAACGTTCCAATATTTGGATTGCAATTGTTTAGCGAATACTGTAGTTGGAATCGATCATTACAGTATTCACTATACAGTTTATTATGTATCAGTCCATAATTTCATTAATTCTTTGAAAGGAGAGAAACTTTCCACAGCTGTCCGGATATGAGATCACGTACCGGATAAGCGATTATTTGAATTTTTTTAAATCTTTTATTCAAGGACGTTCTGCGGAGAGGGGGTGGAGAGAGAGAGAAAGAGAGGTCAAGGCAATGCGGTTTTTAGCATGGGACAATCATCCCTGCCAATCAATCGTCACACCTGATGCGCTATCTTGTGCGTTCGAGTTGCTTAGTAACTGGAAACACCATGCGCCACCTACGTTGTTTCCAAACATTGACAAGATGACAAACCTTGGCCCAAATATAGGGTAACATAACCGGACAATTTCCCGCGCGTCTAGCTATTGTTAATAACGGACACATCGCACGCGACCTATATCTGTCCTGAATCGATGGAATGCGCACGGTCATACCGACCATTTTGTATTTCTCCTAATCGCTGACGCATTAAAAAATTAAAAACCGGAATAAATAATATACTATAAACTGATGTGTTGTTTTCCTTCTTTGATGTTGCGTCCGGTGATTTTATCGCATAAACGTTCTCGCTACTCAAACGGGTGGCCCGTTCTATCTTAGCTTGTCCTTGAGAAACACTATCCCCAACAAAAGTGTCTAGTGAAAAGGTAAACGCTAACGCAAATACCGTGTGGAGTAAATCTAGAACTCTGTCCTTGACAGACGCCACTTTTGTCTGAAAGGATGCCGTTACGTAAAGTTAAAAAACACCTGTAGTGAAAAGACAACTCATGGTCAGATCTGTCTAACAATATATAATAAATCGGAAAACATTAATAATGGATTATCGAAGAATATTCATAGAATTTTTTTTTCCAAGTTGCTTACGATACTGAAAATATAATTAAACAGGTTTCGTTGAGACTGAATCTCCTCCAATGCCAAAAGAGACTGGATGGTTCATTGCCATGGCTGTAACCTTCATATGCTCAAAAAACTAATTCATTTAAGAAACATTAAATCTAAACTAGAGAAGCACAAAATATGTACTTTACAATTTCTTAATAAAAAAAGAGTAAGTATTAATAATTTTAGATTTTTGCTAATTTTATTTAAGGATCTGTCATTAAAAATAATTATCAGTAATAATAAAATTTTAATTTTCACATAAATTATTAAAAACAATGGAATAATGGCAACCTTCTAATTTTATAACTAATATTTATAGTTTTTCTCCTAGAAAATTGTTTGGATAGTGATTATTCTTCACTGTCAAATGCTCTTCTTTGTAGAAAGGCATAAAAACAGTAAATTTCTGAATATAAGAATCAAATTTGTTCTACTTCATAAATGGATTATTTTTTTCCATGAAAGAAGGCATAAAGTCAGGAATAAAAAGATAATTGTATCCAGAGAAACCCTAGTTTTTCTGGATCTATAAGAATGGAACCAATGCACTGGATTTTGAATGTGTATCACTCCACCACCATAACCAAGTAGTGAAGATAGAATAAAAACTGAAAATTCAAACAGCACACCATAACATGTCATGTTACATTTTGTTTTATATACTGTATATAGAAAATATTAGAAAAATTATAAAATATATTCTATTTCCTAATGAAC